CTTCAATGCAGTTGATCAAGACATGAACATGTGTAGATTGCATTTCTTGTTGGGTCAACCAATGCTCACCCTTCTTTCCAGAGGGACGACCTGGAAGCCCGAAGACTGATAAGGTGTACTGACTTCTTTCGATAACATTTACAGGATTCCTTATGATTCTTGGAGTTAACATCAAGTGCTTGAAATAGTGACTGCAAAAATGTGAAGTTTCTCGATGCAAGTAATGTGCACATATTGATCCTTCAACTCTAGCTTTATTTTTCACTGATCGCTTTGAATCACCCATGAACCTTTCAAACGGATACATCCACCTATATTGAACAGGTCCTCCTAGATAAGCCTCATATGCAAGATGCACAGGTAGATGTTCCATGGAGTCAAAAAAACAGGAGGAAATACTTGTTCCAACTTACAGAGAATGACTGGAATATTTTGGTCCAACTTAATGATGTCATCCACTCTTAAAGCTGAAGCACAAATATCTCTAAAAAATTGACTAATTTCAGTGAGTGGATTAAGCACATGTTTGGGTAGAGAACCGAACGCAATTGGTAGCAATTGTTCCATAAAAACATGGCAATCATGACTTTTCATACCATGCAACTTCCCAGTGTTAGCATCAACACACCTTGCTAAATTTGAAGAATACCCGTCGGGCATTCTCAAACCTTTTAGCCATCCACAAACCGCTTTAGCTTCTTGGGGGGTCAGACTGAAACAAGCTTTGGGTTTAAATAATTTTCCATTTGGTTGAGGCTTCAATTCCAACTCTTTATGATTACACCAAATTTCCATGTCTTGTCTAGCCTTCACATTATCTTTTGTTCTGTCTTTAACATCCATCACTGTGTTAAATACGTTATCAAAAAAATTCTTCTCAATATGCATAACATCAAGATTATGGCGCAACAAATTATCTTTCCAATACGGGAGGTCCCAAAATATACTTCTTTTTGTCCAATTATGTGTGACCCTATATCCTTCAATTCTACATTCAATTCTACATGCTTTGCCAGTATCTGTAAACTTTGGAAGTTCACAAACTTGGTTCCATATAGCAACTGGTGCCAATCGAGGCGGAGGCAGATCTGTTACCCGTTCGTCCTTTTTGAAATTTGTCTTGTTTTTTCTAAAGGGATGATTTGATGGTAGGAATCTGCGGTGACAGTCAAACCACGAGCTTTTCCCCCCTTTTTCCAATGTAAACGCCTTAGTGCATTCCATGCAATGCAGACAACCCATTCTGCCATGCGTACCCCAATCAGACAACATGCCATATGCTGGAAAGTCGTTAATGGTCCACATCAAGGCAGCTCGCATAGAAAAGTTTTGTTTACGGGATATATCATAAGTCCATTCTCCATTATTCCACAACCTCTTCAAATCATCAATTAAAGGTTGTAAGTACACATCAATTCCGGTTTTTGGACTCGACGGTCCTGGAATGACGCACATCAAAAACATGTATGGTTTTGTCATGCACATCTCAGGAGGGAGATTGTAAGGGGTTACAATAACTGGCCAACAAGAATACGCACTTCCGGACGCTTGGACATATGGAGCAAAACCATCAGAGCATAATCCAAGCCTGACATTTCTAGGTTCAGCGGCAAAATCAGGATGTACCTCATCAAAGTGCTTCCATGCATGGCCGTCAGATGGGTGTCGCATATTGCTTGGGCTTGTTTTGTTTGTATGATGCCATGTCATTTGACTTGTACTGTACATTGAAGAAAATATTCTTTTTAACCTTGGTATTATCGGAAGATAAAGCATGGACTTTACTGCTACCCGTTTTTAGTTACTGTTAATGGCTCTATTGCGAACTTTATATCTTGGACTATGACAAAACTTACATTCCTCTGACGATCCATCTTGAGTACCAAACTCGTTGTCATAAAACAACATACAACCATTAATGCAATCAATCTTTCTTACTCTTAAACCCAACTTCGACACCAACTTCTTTGCATCATAGAAACTCGCAGGCAAGTTGTCTTTCGTTGCAGTTGAGTCCAACATCATTTTTGCGAAGTGCTCCAAACACTGATCAGGAACATTCCAATTTGACTTGGCGGCTAATAATCTAACACACATTGATAGCTTTGAGTCTGACGACCCCTCAAACAATGGCGTATTCATCTCATTCAACAACTGACAAAATCTCTGCGCTTCCTCATTCCGCAACTCTTCCCCGTCAAAGTCTTCAGGTTGATCATAGGTCACGTTAACACCAAAAGCATCACCAACCATGTCACCTATCAGATTAAAGTTTTCTTCAAATTCCATAGGTGATTGCATAACCGGTTGACTACTTGAAGCATCTGTATTGCTAGTCTCTGGTACATTACTCGACAGTGTTTCACCATGATACGTCCAAACCCAATAATTTTCAATGAAACCTTTCCTATGCAAATGACGTGTTATTTCCTCTGGGTCACTAATTATATATCTACATCCACATTTAAGACAAGGACACCTAACTCCTCCTTCACTTCGACAACGTTCCTGGGCAAACGTCCACGCGATAAAACCATTAACTCCGTCTATAAAATTGGGTTTAAGTGCGCGTCTTCCTGGATATAGTCTATCGTACATCCAACTACGATAATACATAATATTCCATTTACTGCAAATTTATATAATCAAAACCTATTTAATTAGAAATATTAATTAATCAACTTAATAATAATCCTAAACATATACAATTAAAGATAAATATATGCTTTCAAAAATATTTATAAACTCCTAAAAATATTTAGTTATTTTTAAACACTTAAAATTTAATTTAAACACCTAAATTTTATAAACTCCTAAAAATTTAAAAACTTATTAAACTCCTAAAAATTTAATTTAAACACTTAAAATTTATAAATTCCTAAAAATATTTATTTATTTTTAAACACTTAAAATTTAATTTAAACACCTAAATTTTATAAACTCCTAAAAATTTAAAAACTTATTAAACTCCTAAAAATTTAATTTAAACACTAAAAATTTATAAACTCCTAAAAATATAAAAACTTAAATTCCTAAAATAATTAAACTCATTCATCACAAATTAATAATTAATAATTATTATAAACTAAATAATTAAACCTAACATTTAACTCAAATAGAGAAAAAATATATATATATAACCCAAATTCAACAATTTTAACCCAATGCAAATTCATGAAATTCAGAAAATATATATAACCTATAAATTAATCAAATTCAGAAAATATACTAATTTCAAAAAAAAAAAAAATTCAAGACATACCTTTTATCTTGTAACTCCTTCAATCTTCTTGTCTCTTTTTGCAATCTATACTTCTATATTCTCCTTCTCTATTCAAAGAAAAATTGAAAAAAAATTATACTCAAATAACACATCAAAAGCTATTAACAAAGTATAAATAACATGAAATTGAAATTACCTTACAACCAATGTATGAAGATGGTAAGAATTTAAGTGTGGAGAAGAAAAATTTTTGGAGAAGAAAATGGGTATGGAGAGGAGTAGGGAAGGTTGAAGAAGAAGAATGAGAAACATAAACGTTACTGTGTGCGTTGTGGAACGTTTTGATAAATTAGATAAACCAAGTAGCGACGTGAAAATCACGCCGCAACGTTGCCACGTGATTTTCACGTCGCAACAAACTTACAACTGTTTTCTCTTCCTTCAAAACCTGAACACGCCAGTGTTGGAAGTTGTGATTTATTTAATTTTTATGATATTTTAATTAGCGACGTGAATCCCACGTCGCAACTTTTTTTAACACAAAAAAGCAACTGACACACTTAATGCTTCTGTATTATATTATTAAAACACGTTGCCACGTGATACGTCGCAACTGACTTTATTTAGCCACATGAAAATCACGTGGCTGTGTAAGCATTTTCTTGTAGTGTATTCAAATTATTTTAAAAAACAATATATATATATATATATATATATATATATATATATATATATATATATATATATATATATATATATATATATATATATATATATATATATATATATATATATATATATATATATATATATATATATATATATATATATATATATATATATATATATATATATATATATATATATATATATATATATATATATATATATATATATATATATATATATATTAAATAATTTAAATAAATATTTATATTAAACATATAAAATATGCTATTTATTTGAAATATATAACTAATTAATTATATTTTAATATATTAATTGAAATAAATAAGTAACTACTAATAAAATATATTTCATAAATAAATAATATAAATAATTTTGATATGATTACATAAAAATATATTGTTCATATACAGTATAAAAATATTTGAAAAATACTATTAACTAAAATAAAATTTATTTATGCACTGTGACGTTATAAAATATTGCTCTTATAAATTAATTTATTTGAACATAATTTCAATATAAATTAATCTTATAAATTTTATATATTATACTTTTTATAAATTTATAAATATACAGTTTTACTAAATATATTGTTTTTATAATTTTAAGTTGTATGTATTAACTATAAAAACTATAATTTTATATATTGTGGTTTTTATAAATTTATAAATATACAGTTTTACTAAATAATATATATATTATGATCCTAATCTTAAACATATTAAAATTGAAGGCTTGGGATTTAAGATTTATGATTTAATATTTATAGAAAAGAAAAATATTGCATGTGTAATCTACGTAATAAAAAAAAAAAAAAAAATCAACACTACATTCATCGCCATATCATTAATTTTCCAACCACACAATTTTTACAGGACCCAAAACCCACATTCCCCCGCCAACCCGACAAGACCCGACCCTTTCTTCTTTCTTTCTTTCCAAGCAAATTTTCCACCATTTATTAATTTCCCCCTCACTTTCTTTCCGTTCTTCCTCCAAAACCACTACCTCCGTTTCATAAACCCTCTCCCTCTTCAATCCTTTCCCAAACCCTCTCAATTTCCTCACAATTTCTTCTTCTTCAGCCATGTCCATCTATAGGGTACTTTCTCGAGCTTCCAGAAGCTTCACGCTTCTCTCTGCTTTGCAGAAGCCACAACCACTCTCCACCACTTTCTTCCATCAATTCAGTTCCGTTCCTAATCAATCAGCTAATAAGGTATCTATATTGTAATACTGAATGAGAAAATAGTAATTTTTTTCCCAATTTTGTATTGTAGGGTTTTGCTAGGGTTTAGTCATAAACCTTTAACCCTAGATTTTTTTAAAATATTTTATGATGTAATGTCATGGCTTTGAATTATCCAACTAAGTTTAAATTTATTGCACCCTAAATTCTCTTTTTCTATTTTTTTTTTTTATGTTTTGGCTATGAATTATTGAACTTAGTTTAAATTTAGGGTACAATCCCTAGTTGGCATGCATGAACAACAAAAAACATATGTTGGGAGCATGGTTTTAAATTGAAGATGCAGTTGCGGGTGTTGCTATGGCGGTTGCTGCGATGTTCAATACTGTTGTTGTTGCGTGAATTTTAACTGGGCGGTGTTTGAAATTAACAATTAAAAAGCACTTAATGATAAGATTTTTCATTACATAGGAAGAAAATTGAGTTTTGGGTTTATGAAATTTCAAGTTTTGATGAAAATACTTGAAGAAATATGGGTGGAATTGTCTGATGTGATTTCTAATGGCGGCTGGATGTATGGTTTTAATTCATACTGCAATTGCAGTCAGATGAGGTTGCGGAGGCTTCTGCATCAGCAAAAACCATGGTTGGGAGAGGTTAACCTCTTAAATGGGTTTCAGCTACTCAGAGCAACTGCAGCTGTGCAGTGGCGTCTGGGTAAACCTTGGTTTACAGAAAATCTTTAATTTATTGTTGTTGTATATTTCTAAATCATGGTTTGCCCCTCAATTATTTGTCTGAGTTATTTTAGTTTTAGTTATGTTTTGTGAAGTTCTCATTAAGTTCTATGTGTGGTTTCTAATGTCCCAGCTTATTCCGATTCAAGCCAATTTGTTTGGTCCGTCAATAAGTTCATCCTTGACTCCAAGATTTGGATTTTCTTCCTCGGCCTCATCGGAGTCTTCGAAAACAAGTGAAGAAGCTAATGCAACTGATCGGAATGAAGAAGATAACGGTGAAGATCAAGCGAAAGAATCAGGTTAAGGTTTATTTCAGAATCTCGTTTTCGATGTCAATCTGCAAAACAGAAAGTGTGGAGATTTTAAACGAAAATGTTTTTTTTATTTTATTCAGATGCCGAGATTGAATGTGATCTATCCAGAGACGAGTTAATTAAGCTTGTGACTGAGAAGGAAGCGCTTTTGAAGTTGAAGCACAAAGAGATTGAAAAAATGCAGGATAAAGTTTTACGTACTTATGCAGAGATGGAGAATGTCATGGACAGGACTAAACGCAATGCAGAGAATTCAAAAAAATTTGCTATACAGGTCTATGTTTTGACATTTTTTGTTTTGTGATGTAGCCATCTTGCTCCCTAATGATTTAGTTTTCGACTCTTTGCTCAGTGGTTTCTAATGTGATGTAGAATTTCGCCAAGAGTTTACTAGATGTTGCTGACAATCTGGGAAGAGCTTCTTCAGTTGTAAAGGACAGTTTTTCAAAAATTGAATCACCTAAAGAATCTGATGAAGCCGCACCTCTCCTGAAAACGCTTCTGGAAGGTGTTGAAATGACTGAGAAACAACTTGCAGAGGTAGACTGTTCTACGTTATACTGCGGCACTTAAGTTGTTAGATTCAAAGCTAATCTATGTCCATTCTTTTCTGAGTCATTTGATTGATTTTAATTTTTGTTTAATTTTCACCTGGCAGTACAATTTTCCACATTTATATGGTTTTCTAGATTAAGGATGGAAAATAGGTGGATTCTGAAAGTTTGATTGTGATGGGTTGAATTTTTCTTATCCTCTTCGAAGGTTCAAGTCTTGGTTGTCTAGTAAATTAATGAAAGCGCATAGAAGACTAGAAGAGAGCAAAAGAAAACTAGGAAATCACACGCCGTGTTTGATCATATCATGCATCAAAGAACATATGAATTCGCTTTGATAATTTATAGATATGATCATTCTATTTAAGAGTGAAGTGTGTGGAATAGAATCATAATCTCAAGAGATTGAAACTTTCTCTAACATACTAAAATCCCAATGGATCATCGACACACATTAAAACCTTAGATGAGCCTGTCTGTTTGATTATGAACCAATACAACTATACCACTAAATATGCAAGTTATTCAAAATACCTGTAGTAATGTAGTTTGAAAAGTATATAATTAATAGAAGTAACTGCGTTTTAAAGCTAAAAAATCATAAATAACAACAATCTTGTAAGTTGACGGCCATGTTTTGGAGAGTAGACTGGTTGCATTGCATTATTGTTTTCTTGAAGAAACGTGCTTCAATGGATAATACGGTATTCAATCCTATTTTGTTTACAGGTACTTAAAAAGCATGGTGTAGAAAAATTTGATCCTACAAATGAACCATTTGATCCAAACAGGCATAATGCCATCTTCCAAATACCTGATGCTTCCAAGCCTCCCGGCACTGTTGGAGCTGTTCTGAAGGTACTTTACATATGATCGTATGTTGGTATTGTGAATTTGTGATTCAATCTTTTTTACTGACTTCAAAATTGTTTTTTCTTTTATTTGGTTGATTAATGCCTTTTCAACTAAATTTCAATATTAATGGTCTAGGTTGATGTGTCATTATTTATGACAAACTTTCTGTTTATTACATGAAAATGCTGATTTTATTTCATTTTATCGTCAAAGGGCATGTGTTTTCCTAACATTTTCGATAGGAGGTTTTGTTTCCCTTGATGTTGCACTAAATGTGAATGAAAAGGGATTACTTTGGTTATATTTGCAGGCAGGATATATGCTTTATGACCGCGTACTTCGTCCAGCAGAAGTTGGGGTAACACACGAAGTTGAAGATAACAAAACAGATGAATGATCCTGGCATATGAAGAAATGCCTGAGTAATTGGGTACTTATTGGATATTATCCAATGTCTTTTTATGTAGTACTCACTCTAGATCTCTTTTCAAGAGCTTTAAATCGTCAAAACGGAGAGGACTATTAGTTTATCTTATATATCCGGAGTTCTTCTTTTAACAATAATAACAACAAAACAGTATAAATCCACAAAACAGTATATGGATTTGATTCCATGAGATTTTGGTTGTATTCATGGTATTTATTTATTCATTATAATGGTACCTTTACATACCCCACATATAATTCACAGCTCTCTAGTTTGGTCCTGTGTCCCTTTCTGTTAGCAAATCATGATTTGTAGGGGGGAGAAGATCAGTCATTGTAAGATTTAAAGTAAGTTTTGAGGTGATGCAACTGTTTTATTTTTATTTTTCTGATGTTGCTCTTCCATTTTATATGGGAAATACTGATAAATAAGTACACCCTAACAGGTAGGCATGATAAAGGGGCGGGTCGGAGCGGAGTGGTTTTTACTCAAATTCTAAACTCAAATTCGAATCTCCGAACAATCCCGTTCCACGCCTCAAATTTAAATGGGGATGGAAAATTAAAATCCAAATTCATCCCAAATGGGTTTGGATTGGATTCAGGTATTTTCATACCATCCATTTAACAAAATCAATATTTTTAATAGATATATTTAGTTTTTTCAAAATCAAATTGCATTTTAAATAATAAAATACAACAATCTCAAAAAAATATCATACATACATTTTAAATATTTTAAATAATAAATACAAATCAAATTATCAAAACATTGTCTATATATTTAATATTTTAATTTTAAATTATAAAAATTAAATAATAACGTATATAATGAACTAAACGGGGTGGGTTCGGAGTGACTATTAGTGTTTCTATTATTTGACCTGTCTCCATATTTTAGGGAAAACTCAAATCAAGTTAAAACGGATTTTTCTTGTCAATTTCGAGGCAGTGGATACGGGTTTTGTTGTAATGTCTACTAACAGAGTGATGAGTGATGATGACCTTGTTAACTAGTGCTCTTTTTTTATTTATTTTTTCTTTCTATTTGTGCTATTGTATAAGTTATCATTTAGTGGTTACCATGCTAGCTGGATGGAACTCTCCCTCTATAGCTAGTGTGTAATTGTCCTTTTGGCTGACCACTTCCAAGTGAAGAAGTTGGGCTATCCCTTCCCTGCCCTCGCCATTAAAAACTCATCTTTAGATGTGTGCATTTGAATTGTATAAATTGTCCAAAAGATGAATTAGAATATAGTGCTTGAAAGACTTGTTTATGAAGCTTGGTCAAAATTGAGATTTTTTTGTGACAGTTAGATGTAAGTTGTTTGTAAAAGTAAAAAGTCTCAAGTCTATTGTATAAATTGTTCAAAAGACGAATTAGAATATAATGCTTGAAAGACTTGGTTATGAAGCTTGGTCCTATTTGAATGCTTGGTCAAAATTTGAGATTTTTTTGTGACACTTACATGTAAGTTGTTTGTAAAAGTAAAAAGTTCCAAGTCTCAAGATTTGAAGTGGAAAATGCGTAAAATCGAGAGAATTATTGGATTCAAAAGAACTATTGGATTACATAATGGTAATTTAGGGTGTTAGGTTTTGTTTTGTTGACTGTATTTTGTTAAAACAAGTATTTCAGTAAGATGTTAGACTCTGACATGTTGGTACGACGACATCGTAGTTTGATTTGGTTTCATATTTAGAAGATTTGTTTTAGATTCTTAGAAGTTTTGGTTTTTCATATTCTGCGGTTTAAAATACATTTGTGAAGATTTGATTTTCTGAAGATTTGTTTCACCATGAAATATTTGAAGATTTGTTTCTCAAGATTTGATGTTAAGACATTTAAAGAAATTGCACCAGAATATCATGCATAATATTATGCAGAAGATTGTGCTACAAATGTCGAAACATTTAAGTAAACATTAGATTATGTTCCAGAATATTATGCCTTGTTGTTGTATCTAAGATTGAATGTCGTAACATTCAGGGGAACATTATTGTCCTGATTGTGTGTTGAAGATTTGATTTGATTTGCTGTTTGTTTAAAGCCCAAAGCCCATACTGTTTTTCTGACTATAAAAAGAAAGACTTTAAACCTAAAGAAAACACGAAGCTGCATGTGTAAAAGTGTCAATTAAGGTTTCGTCTGTTCATTGTTCATTGTGATCCACTCTTGTATCTCTTTGATGCTAGAGCTGGACTGTTAGTTGAGTTGTAATTGTGAATCACTCATAAGCTTTTAAGTAGTAGTTGGTTCTGTTTATTGGAGTATGTCTCCTTCTTGACTGTTTTGTGTTTTATCATTGGTTGTGTGATTAAGGAGAAGTGAGATGGGTCTCATATCAAGGAGAGTCTTAGATAGAAATACCACGAATAATGATTAGGAGTGAAGTTTGTAAAATCAGAAGTTGTTTAGAACTTCGAACTAATACTATTATAGTCTATTTTCTTTTTGGCTTGGATATCGTAGATGTAGGTGACGTTGCACCGGACTGGATTAACAATTGAACTGTGTTACTTACTTCATGATGTTTACTTAATTTGTTTGTTGTTCTGTCTGTTGTTACGATGTCTTAATATTCCGCTCGATATTACGTTTGAAACCCTGATATCGTGACATTGTATACGACATCTGTCTTGTTGTGTCAGAATTTCAATTGGCATAAGAACATGCAACCTGTTCTGTTTTGAGGAGCTTCAGGAAAAATATTTCCTGGCACTATAGATAAGGAAGAAGGAAATATTAATAGACCACCCATGTTGGATGACACCAACTACAACTATTGGAAAACCCGTATGGTGGATTTTCTAAAATCTATGGATAACAAAAGCTAAAAAGTAGTTGTCAAAGGTTGGGTACATCCTGTGTTGACAAACAAAGATGGGAAGGACATTACTGAATTAAAGCTAGAAGAAGACTGGTCTAAGGAAGAAGATGAACTTGCTCTTGGAAACTCCAAAGCTTTGAATGTTCTATTCAATGGTGTTGACAAAAATATATCCAGGTTAATAAATACATGTACTATGGTAAAAGATGCACGGGAAACCCTCAGAACAACTCATGAAGGTACATCAAAAGTCAAAATGTCAAGACTTTAACTTCTCACCACAAAGTTTGAAAATCTCAGAATGAAAGATGAGAGTGTATTCAGGATTTTCACATGAGTATTCTTGACATTACAAATTCATCTTGTGCCTTGCGAGAGAAAATGTTAGAGGAAAAGCTTGTTAGAAAAATCCTCAGGTCTCTGCCCAAGAAGTTTGACATGAATGTCACAACCATAGAAGAAGCCCAAGACATTTGCAACATGAAAGTGGAAGAGTTGATTGGGTCACTCCAAAAATTTTAATTGCCCATCAATGTGACATGGAGACTGATGAAGGAATTGGTAATGCTATTGTGCTTCTTGGGTGACAATTCAATAAGGTGCTGAAGAACATGGATAAGAAGAAAAGATATAATGTCAAGAACATCTCTTTCGACATAAATAAAAACAATGTCTTTCAAAGAAAAGAAAGAATAGAGGAGAAGCTACATCAAAGAAGAGGTGTTCAATGTCATGAATGTGAATATTTTGGTCACATTATATCAGAATGTCCCACATACCTCAAGAAAAACAAGAAGGGTTTGACTTTTTGGGCTGATGATGAAAATTTTGAAGGTGAACCCGATGATGAAACTGCTAAGCATTTTGCAGCCTTCACAGGTAGATATGAATCTGATGAAGTTTCATGTGATGTGGATGTTTCTTATGAAGAATTGACTGTTGCTTACAAAGAGATTTGTGTCGGGAGTGAAGAAGTGTGTAAGATAGGCGGGAAACATAAGAAAATCACAGCTCAACTGCAGGTTGAAAAAGAGAAATTGTCATCTACTGTCTCTGATCTTCAAAATGAGGTAACCTTATTGAATTCTAAACTTGAAAACATAACAAAATCAGTAAGAATGTTGAACAACGAGTCTGATATGTTAGATAAAATCCTTCAAGTTGGAAAAGGAACTAGAACTTAAAAGGTATAGGTTTTGATTACCAATCTCTGAAAGGAAAACCCCTGTGACAAAATATATTCCTCCAGAAAGGAAGTATGAGCCCATGATATCCGACTAAATGTTACAACATCCTGCCATACATCAAGAAAATCAAACTAAAGTCAAGTTTTATCCTTGGAAATGTCATTATTATGGTAAATATGGACATTTATAGCCTTTATGTTACAGACTGTACGGTTATCCAAATCATCCAACATATTATAGGGCTAATCGTGTGATGATTAAAACTAGAAAGGAATGGAAACCTAAGACTGTTGATACTTGTCTTTAAGTCCATACTTCTTTTAGAGCTTCATCTAGAGAAAACTGGTATTTTGGTAGTGGATGTTCTATAAATATGAGAGGGGTAAAGAATTACTTAGTGTACATTAAGCCTTATGCCATTAGTTTTGTTACTTTTGGAGGTGCAGCTAAAGGTGAAGTTAAGGGAGTAGGAAATTTAGCTTGTACTGGACTTCCTAGATTAGAAGATATTCTTCTTATGAAAGGACTGACTGCTAATCTAATCAATATTAGTCAGTTATGTGATCAAGGCTTAAAAGTCAAATTTACCAAATCAAAATGTTTGGTTACCAATGAGAAGAATGATAACTACAAGAAATGAAGCCTCTAGCCTCGTGATACAACCACATGATAATCGTGTGGCAAAAAAAGGATGTTACGACGTGATTATCACGTTGCTACTTGTATAAATTATTTAAAAAATCAAAGTAACGTTAAAACATGGGTCCAGTCAAATTTTTTTAAAGAAAAGGTCGTGGCATGGAAAATATGTTGCAACTCAAAAAGTAAAACAAAAAATACGTCAGTTTTGCAGATGAGGGGAAGTTTGAAAATTTCAAATTTTAAATTGTGTCGTGAAAAACACGTCGCAAAATTAAATGCAAAAATAAAAAAATAAAGAGGGAAAGTTGATT